AATTGCAACTGTGTGGACGAGAACCATTATGAAGCCTATATTTAGACCAGTAGTAAAGAACGCCTGTATTTAGACCAATAGTAAAGAACGCCTATATTTAAACCAGTAGTAAAGAACGCCTATATTTAGACCAATAGTAAAGAACGCCTATATTTAGACCAGTAGTAAAGAACGCCTATATTTAGACCAATAGTAAAGAACGCCTATATTTAGACCAGTAGTAAAGAATGCCTATATTTAGACTAATTGTAAAGAACGCCTATTTTAGACCAATAGTAAAAAACGCCTGTATTTAGACCAATAGTAAAGAACTCCTATATTTAGACCAGTATTAAAGAACGCCTATATTTAGACCAGTAGTAAAGAACGCCTATATTTAGACCAATAGTAAAGAACGCCTATATTTAGACCAGTAGTAAAGAACGTCTGTATTTAGATCAGTAGTAAATAACGCCTATATTTAGACCAATAGTAAAGAACGCCTGTATTTAGACCGATAATAAAGAACTCCTATATTTAGACCTAGTATTAAAGAACGCCTATATTTAGACCAATAGTAAAGAACGCCTATATTAAGACTAATGGTAAAGAACGCCTATATTTAGACCAAAAGTAAAAAAGTTCCATATTTTATAGGTAAAAAAAAAGTATATCATGTTATCATGTTTACTGGGGATTGTAACTAAAATATACACAGAATCAGATATCAGCTTCATAAACTTCTCAGCAGATGTGAAATAAATATGTTTATGTCTTAGGCTTACTTTCTACATACGGTAATAACAAATCTAGTAACCTTCACATATTTAACCCTTCAACTGCGGTTGATATCATATGATGCAAGCAACATTTTGAATGGCCCGTCGCAAAAATTCCCGAATCTTTGCGCATGGGGTGGTAGGCAGATTTACAGAAGCCGCAAACGAAGGGTTAAATACACATATTTCTCTATCTTTTAACTATTTCCCTACTTTTCATCATACTTTTATGCGCAATTTGTGCCTGACAAAAGTTTATTCACGTGAGGTTCTTTAATACTGGTCTAAATGTAGGCGTTCTTTACTACTGGTCTAAATACAGGCGTTCTTTACTATTGATCTAAATATAGGCATTCTTTACTACTGGTCTAAATATAGGCGTTCTTTACTATTGGTCTAAATATAGGCATTCTTTACTACTGGTCTAAATATAGGCGT